TATTGAATGTTAAAATGCATTTTAAACATAAAGTTAAGTGCTTATCATTACCCATTTTACTCTTAGTAATTTAATAATTTAATACATTTCATAATGTAAAAGTTTAGTTCAGAAGTATCGAATCGGTATCGATATCGACGATACTGCCTTGAAAAATATCGGTATCGGTATCGTATCGAAAACAAAATAAGTGGTATCGCCCATCCCTACTATCCACCTTATTCTTCAACACTTCCGGTTCATTAGCCGCTATAGGGAAATAACGAGAAGAATTACAATGTGCAGTAAACTGTAAAACTGCTTGCACTGTAAACCAGAGTGTTCATAATTAAGATAATACATTAAAATAATGTATATGTAATATGGTAAGAAACACCAATTTGCAATATCAAGCAGGAAAACTAAAAATAGCTGGACGCGGGTGAGACTGGAAGCCAGACCCATAAAATTTACAAATGGTCACACCTTCTTACGGGAATAATAAGATAGATAGGGAAATTGATTTTGAATGATTTCAAACCTTTAAGACAGACTTACTATGAGCTACAAGGTTGTTAATGGATGGTATATGCTTTTTCTGAAGCCATTAGTCTGCATTAGACCAATAGTTTTTTTAAATAATCAGATTTAGCAGAATTCCCGGTAAAAACTACATTACCCATAATACTGCAGAGAAATCTCTAGCAATCAAAAGAACTGCCCACTTGCATGAAGGATTGCAATTGATGCAATTAAGTCAGTATCCCTACGCTCTAAAATTATTTAAATATTTGTATGCATAATATGCATATTTTGCAATATAAAATACATCGTTTAAATATATACTCAGTATCACATGATTTTTTCCAATATGCTGATTTTTTATATTCAATTGTTTGATTGTATCATTCGCAATGCTTCCTGGGATTATAGTTCTTTCCCTCATTAAAGCAGTTAAGTACAGTTTTGTACTTTTGTGTTTTGGTCCAATTTGCTTCAAATCAAAGTTTGCAATGTTCTGATACACGTCTTAGCTGGTTGGTTTGGTTCATGGCTTATAACTCCTTAACAAAGACTTTTAAAAATCCCTATGGGAAGAATTAATGGAAAAAATACTTTCAAGGCCACTAACTGGGAACTGTTGTACTCTATAGCACAATGTCCAAGCTGCTCTTTTCCAAAACAATGAAAGTGAATGGTGACATATTTGTCAAACAAGAGTTTCAGTGAATTTTCAGGTTTCTAACACAAAGCTATTATACATCTATTATTCTCGGAAAAAGTATTTTTTAAACTACTTTTATGAAGTTTTCAAGTCGTTTTTGTGCTTTACCACATACGGTCTCCATACACTTTCATCTGCTAAACCTCTCTTTTGGTTTTCTATGTAAGAACGAAACTCATAGGGGTTTGGGAAAGACACATGAGGTAGGGTAAATGATGACAGAATTATCATTTTTATCAGTTTACCATTAATTTCTCGTTCCAGGTTAGCATCTCTACTGTAGGCTATGGTGACATGTATCCGGAGACTCTTTTGGGGCGGATATTTGCCTTTGGCTGCATTTCCTTTGGGATCATTCTGAATGGCCTTCCAATCTCCATCCTCTTCAATAAGTTCTCCGATTACTACGCCAAACTGAAGTCTCATGAATACAATTCCAACACGAAGAACAGAGGGAAGGTTAACTTCATCCTGAGAGCCAAGAAGAAGCTCAAAGAGTGTGGCTGCATTGAAACTAACGACATTAATGTTTCGTAGACACTAGTGAAATCGATTGTTGGCATTGTTACGATGTACTGAATCTTGTCTGAATGAGATCATTTTCTAAAAAGCCTCTTATCTAAAAGTGCCAAAGTAAATTTTAAAATACAAGTAATAAGTAACACGGACTTAAATTATCAGTAACACTTTATTTTAAGGTGTCCTTGTTGTTACACATGTACTTACTATTATAATAACAATTAATTATGCATAATTACATGCAAGTTACCCTAAGCCAAACCCTAACCACAGAGTAAGTACATGTAGTTAATTAATATTACTCAGTATTAAATGTATAATTACACTGTAACAAGGACACCTTAAAACAAAATGTAACCAATATATTACAGTCTGTTATTCCTCATCTCCTGTTCCTGCATTATTAAATGTTTAGCTTCATGGCATGAACAAATCTTTGACAAAGTTGTACTACAGCATTAAAGTAGCCTACATTTTAATGTTTGGACATCATGTTTTATTTTCTTCTTTTCGTCTGGTTATAGAATCACATTTAGCCACATAACACTGATGCTAACCTGTATAATCTTCACTGTTTTGATGTTCTACCTAACCTGGCCTTTTGAACTTGACCTGACTGACAACCAAAATAGAAGATTAATCTAATTTACAGAGTTCCCATGACGTGTCCAATTAACTTAATTAACACTGTATTTAACCTCCAAAGACCAGGCAATTCCTTATTTGTTCTCAGCAGTTCCAATGTTTTTGTTCTTTGAGGCCATACAAGCGTTTTGATTCAGTTAACGTTAGGGCAAATCTTCACAACACTTCTTTTTCTAATGAAGACAAAAAACCTCCCCATAAACGAGGAAGAAACCTTGGCTGGGAGAAGCATCCTCTCTCATGATACATTTTAGGTACACGTATATTTATAATATTACATTATATAGATAAGTAAATGAATAAACAATCTAAATGCTTGACGAACCTCTTTTTTCGGTGATCGCGCAGTTGCACTCCAGGCCTGTGGGGGGCGGCGTGACGTCACTGCGCTCATAAGCGTCACTTCTTCGCGTTGCGCTCGTGCTCTTGCGTTTCTCTGACCTCTGCAGACAGAGTGCGGTCCTGAACTCCAGTGAAATGTCTGCTCCAGTGCAAGTGTCGCCGCTGATCAAGGTTTGAATTCACAAGTCAATTATTATGGATGTTTATGACTCGTTTTAAACGAAGAAAGGCGTCTTCAGGACTGTCTTTCCCTCCTTCCTGTCGTGTTTCTCTCAGAAGGCGGAGCGGAGGGTGATGTGTTGACATGGCCTGCATGCTGAAAATCATGATATTTCCTTAATTCTCTGTTAATAAAACATAATTATGGATATTAATGAGATTTGTTTTGTTTTGTAGACAGCCAGGTGGTCTGCATTGCTCATTGGCATTATCTACGGAAAGCGCAGATATGGTAAGAACCTGCAAGTTGATCTGAAACAGTCTGACTGGTTTTCAAATGACATACTGTACACACACACATATATATTTGCAGGTGACTTATGGAGGTCACATTGATTTATGTTTTACAGGATCATTAACACACATTTCAACCTTTCAATTCTAAAGTTCAGTATGTTTCTGTAGGACAGAAGTTCTGTCCTACAGAAACACAGAAGTACAGATATTGGTGTTGGTTAAAAATAAAAAATGAAAGAAAACTAGTGGCAGGGATATGAAAGATTGTTTTCACCACTGGGGAAAGTAAAAAAAAAAAAAAAAGGGCACTTTTTTTTGCAACTTTTTATCTCACAGTCCTTTTCTTTCTTGTAATTCTTAGTTTATATATTAAAATTCTGAAGTTTTTCAGAATTGCTATTATAAACTTGTAGTTGCGAGGAAAAAAAGTCATAAATGTGAGATTAAAAAAAGTTATTTTATTTCGTGGTGGAAAACAAAAGCGAGAAAAAGGCAGAATTGTGAAGGAAAAAGTCAAAATTGTGAGATTAAAAAATTGCAATTATTATTTTTTTATTAATTTGAATATCATTTGAATATAATTTATTTTTAATTTTTTTGTATTCTGTAGTGGAAGCAACTTTCCATCCAAAAATGCCACTGCATCTGTTGCTGAGGGTTTCAGAATGTTTACACATTTAAAGGGGTCATACAATGCTGCTAAAAAGAACATTATTTTGTGTATTTGGTGTAATGAAATGTGTTTATGCGGTTTAAGGTTCAAAAAAAAGAATATCTCTTTGGATTTGAGACTTTAGTCTTTGCAACTTTACAGATCTTCTTTATGCACCAAGAGCTTGTAACACTCCAAAGAGAAAGGAAAAATTGAAATCGCATCATATGACCCCTTTAATAAAGTCCTTGCATTTTAGTTAAAAGCTTTTTCTTTATTCTCCAGATCATTTGAAACCAATAGCAGAGGAGGAGAGGAGAATAGAAGAGGAGGAGAAGAAGGTACGAGAGGAGAAGGAACGCATTGCTAAACAGCTAGCAGAAGGTAAGGTTTTCTCTTGATTTTTAAATAGTGTGATTCTTCTGCAGATTGAGCAGTTGGTTGTACTGACTCTAAATATTTTTATCCAACAGCTAATGAGGACACAATCTTGAAGTGAGCTGTCCAAAATTATGCCTGTATCGCTTATATTGTAAAGATCTCGTTAACTGTCTGAATAAAGAATGATGCTTGTATTGCCACTTTGGTTTTACAGTGCCCTTTTCACACCTTTCACTGTTTTCTTATAGGTCATGTTAGATTAATGCCTCATTTGTGAAATAACTGGATACATGAAAATGTGTATAAATTTCCTCTGATCGGACACTGTCTATTCTTTCATTGAAGAACCTCTGATAATAATGAGTGATGCAGATGTAAAACAAGCAATGTAATGTTAAACATACACTGAATCAGAGTTCCACTTTGGTAAACATCCACACCAATATTTATTAATAAACTGTTTATCCCTATTTCTTTTTTATGTCATTTTGATATTTAAAATTAATTTTACTGTCCAGGCAGTTCAAAGTTTGACACAGCAGCATTTAATATTAAAATGTATTCTTTTTTTTTCTTTTTTTATCAATGCAAGGAAATACTGTAAATGAAACTTCAGGTTGTTGTTAAAAAATTCATCATATAGTCCATTAAATCTATTTTTATCTCCAATAAAATATACCCGTGGATTGTCTTGTGCATATTGAATACAAATATGATAAGCAGAGGCTGCACAGACACAGACTTGCTGGTTAAAAAAATAATTGTGCTTTCAAGGTAAATTACTGCAGCATCAGATAAACACCCCTAAATGACATTCAAAAACAAAATGAACCGTTTGGACACTTGACATGTTGGTCAAACTAGTCTCATCCTGTTCTGGTGAGTGTTTTTGATCAAATTAAGATCCAAAGTGAAGCATATTGTATGTGGACAGTCAAAAGTTGGTCTAATCAAGACTACCAGTTCTCCGAATATTTCTCAGTGACAGAATATTCTCCATTTCTTCCCCAGTAATCCACGGCTCTGACTCTGTAATAACCGCTCACCTCCAGACTCTCTGTGGAGAGAAAAACCCAAGCAGGTCAATATGGATCAGAGCTTGAAGTTAAATATTCTGAATCCAGCCAAAATAATACCTGGAGAATAAGTGTAGTATGTGAAAATAGTCTCTCTCTGATTAATCCTCTGGAAAGCCGTCTCATCTTTGGAAAATTCCACTTCATAAGTTTTTATACACCTAAAAATGACACGTTAGTTATGTTTAGAACTCTTGATTGAAGAACTCTTGATTGAAGAACTAGTTTGTTTAATAGCTGTATTTAAGCAGATCTTACTTTGTGCCGATGCAGTGATCCTTCCAAATGATCAGAACCTGTCCTTTGGTGATGGTGATGAAACGCACCCCGTTTACCTGCGGAATGATAACTGTGATATTAAAACCAAACCACATGGTTTCTCAATCTCTGCAAAGAATAACTTGCACAATTTTTGCAATCGCACTCTCAAATTAATTTCATGTACAGACAAATAGACTTTTTGGGGGTAGAGAAACAGCAGATGCTATGAAATCACCCCACATCATGACTGATACTGAACTCAAGGGCTGTGTCCGAATTCTGAAAAACAGTGCCTTACTAGGCTTTATAAGGTTCATGCTGGTATGCTTTTAAACAGTAGTTCATATATATGCAGGACACTTGAAAATTCAAACATTATTACAGTTTGTCTAAAATAAGTAATAGTTCACTTTTGCTAAACATTTACTCTCTCTCAGGTCATCCATGATGTAGATGGATCCTCTGCAGTGAATGGGTGCCGTCAGAATGAGAGTCCAAACAGCTGATAAAAACATCACAATAATTCACACCACTCCAGTCCATCCATTAATTAAAGTCCTGTGAAGTGAAAAGCTGCGTGTTTGTAAGAAACAAATCCATCTTTAAGGTGTTTTAACTTCAAACCGTCGCTCCTGGCCAAAATACTCATAATCCATAAATTCATAATCCATAATAACGCTTCCTCCAGTGAAAAAGTCTATCTCCTGTTGTCTTCTCAGTTCAAAATCCACCAACATATTTGTTTAGGCTTTTTTGCTTGTAAACGGTGCTTGATCTGTGCATATTTCGCTCCTGATTCAGATGAAAGGAATAGGATAGAGGACTCATATTTTAGATGAAAGCAACAGTCTGAATTTGTGGATTATTGGGATATTTTTATCAGCTGTTTGGACTCTCATTCTGAATTTGTGGATTATTGGGATGTTTTTATCAGCTGTTTGGACTCTCATTCTGTCGGCACCCATTCACTGCAGAGCATCCATTGCTGAACAAGTGATGGAATGCCGACTTTCTCCAAAGAAACAAACTCATCTACACCTTGGATGGCCTGAGTAAATGTTCAGTGTTCTATTCCTTTATGTATTTCAACATCAGCCTTTTAGAGGTTTTTAAGATCATGAGAAACAAATTCCGTCGTGTGTCCAAACCTCTGATTGATAGTGTAACCTTTTGGTGCCACATGGATTTAAAACGAGATGGCTGTAATGTTATTGTTACATCATATTACCACTAACCTGGTCGGGCACTTCCTTAGACTGAGCACAAACATGTACAAGCAGCACTGAGGGGACAGGAAGCGCTGCCTTCAGCGTCAGAGAGCCATCGGATGGGACCGGCAGA